CCGGGACCCCTCAGTCCGCAGGCCGACGCTCTATCCACTGAGCCAAACCGGTTTCGGCCCGTTTTGTGTTTTTGATGTATTTTTCAATTGTTGTGGGAGGCAGCAATTTCCCGGTGTTTATCTATGCCGCCATCTTAGTTTCTCCCAGAAACTAGTCTTTAGTCCCAGCTCTGGCAGGTCTTCTCAACATGTTTGACTGTGTATGAGCCTATCAAGGGTTTTGCCTCTGGGAAATGCTATTATACAGATTCCTGTCAAGTAAATAGAGCACAGTTTAAAAACCATTCAATCAGGTAGTTAAGGAAATTAGTAATGCATGGAATAACTGACCTCTTTGGTCAGTGTTGACTGGCATCAATATTTTCCATAGTCTTTGCTCCTTGGATAACTTTGGTATATGAAACAACTACATTGAAAACAAGTTTGGAAGCCTAGACCACTTGGAATAGGAATTTAGAATCTAAGGTCCGTAGTCAGGATTTAGGGTTCTGATCTAAGCATCTTCTGACCTTATTACTCTTTTTTGCAAGAAACACCTCAGGCTCTGAGTATTTTTCCCCCTTTGACCTTTTGACTACTTAACATAATTATCCAAGTTAAAGTATCAATTGAATAGTTCCCTTCCTCCCCCTTCCACCTATACCATGTTGGTGGATGAAAAGAAAAATAATAAAAGGTGGAACAAAAATATTTAATAGTAAAATCAGATTCAACAGAAGCAGAATTGAAGAAACCTAATTGTACCACTTTTAACACACATGTTTTCCATAGACTGCTGGTTTTCTTCAATTTTCATAATTACAATTTCAGGCAGCATCCCTCCTTCCAGAACGGTTATCCCATTTGTGGGTTACCCATTTCCTGTGCATTTCCTTCCTCCGGCCCACCTCTTGGCCACATTAACATTACTGCATGTCAGAAACGATAGCACAGGTGGCCAGAGCAGGTTTGGGAGAAGAAAAAAATGAAATGGAAAATTGTCAAGATTTCTTTGTGTTAAATTAAATCTTTTGGTGAGGAGAGGCCCAAACTCACTCTCGGCCAGAGTGAGACATCTAAGAAACATAGGCGTTTGGATATTTTTACTATTTCTTTCATGATCATTTCTGTTAATCAAGCACTAGTTGGCTAGGTTTTTCTGATGAGGTTGGAGCAGTTTTGAACTTGGAAATAAAGTTGAGGATATGCTCACATTTTGGGGCATATCAATGCCAATATTTACTGAAAATGTAATCAATCAGCCAATATTTACTGAAATCCTAGTTAGACTTCATTTAATGCATAGTCTTCTAAGGGCTTACAATCAAGACAAAATCCACTCATAATACTCAATAGTCAACAACAGTTCAGTAGAATTCAATGAGTAGGGGTTGTATGTGTAGAATAGAGTGCATGTGTGTTTGTGTCCCTAAGTTCAGGGAAGGGATGAAATAGATGAATAGGCTGAAGAACATGAGATAGCTTTATGGGAGGAGGTACTCCTAAGCTGTGCCCCCAAAACTGGGGAGAGGTAGGGAGAGTGGGATTTGGATCAGTCTAATAGTAGTAGTGGAGGGGGGAAGGAAGATAGGGGAAGGGAGAGATAAAGAGAGGCCTTGAGTACCAGACAGAAGTCAAAGTGAGAAACGCTGCAAATGTTCATAAAATATATAAGCCCCTAGTTTCTAGATATGATCTGTAGTAAAAAATGGGTAGACCCTTTGTTAGAATGAATCCTTGAAACTACTCAAGTGTGTTTATAATATTCAACAAAAGGCTATCTCATTTGGAGAATAATAAATTCATGTCAGGGAGCATTAGAGGTATCTGTTGCTAGTTAGCATTTGATTTTGAAGGCTGAAGTTTGAAAAGAGATGAGCTTCCATTTAGGCTGTACTTCAGATGAAAGCAGAGTCGTGGCTACAACGCCCTGGAAGATCTGACCTTGCTTTGCCTTCTGATTTTCCCATGCCATTCTGTCCCTCCTTCGCTTAAGCTTCGGCAGTACCCCACCTTCTTTTTCTGTCTTCATTGTGCTAACTTGTTTCCCACCATTTGGTCATTGCATTTGCTCTGTCCTCTACCAAGACACTGGTCTCCAGGCCCTTGGGCAGACCAGCTTTCATCAATTATGTCTCAGCTCACATTTCATTTTCTGAGTCTTGGGGCTTTTTTTGACCATCCCACCTAAGTGGTATCCTTGGACCCCTCAGCATTCACTAACCTGTCATCCTGTTTAATTGCTTTAAAGCCTAAGGAATGTTCTGAATGGTCTTGTTTATCATCTGTATTATCCCTTTAGAGCAGTGGTTCTCAACCTTGCCTGCACATTAGAATCACCTGGGAATCTTGCTAAAATCCTGATTTCTGGGCCTCATCCTCTGGAAATTCTGTTTCTTTGTTACTAATGATGAGGAGAGAGACTCATCTGCCTTGTTCACTGCCGGATCCAGCATGTAGTAGTTGCTCAATTAAGTAGGTGTTCAGTGAATCAGTGGCACTCAGGTCTCCATTGTGCTTAGCACATACAAAGCTTATGTCTGGAAGTACTGAACTGTTTTAAAGCAGGAAGAAAATAGAGAATAGTGAAAGACCTGGGGGGCGGGGGGCTCATGTCGCGATGGCATTATGTTATAGTGCATCTCTTTTTCTTTGTACCTCTATGGGATCTTCAGAAGCTGGAAAACCACACCGCTCAGAGGGATATTTAAAGAGATGAGCTTTGAAGGAAAAATTATGTGGGTTGGACTAATACTAGTAAATTATATCCAGAAGAGCTGCTGATTAATTCATTTCTCGATATGTGTGTATATTGTAGCCATTGGGGAATGAAATCATGACACATGATAAGCTAAAGTTTGATGTTTCTACAGCCTGCCCCTTGAAGCCCCCACACACGTTTTCCTGTGTATGCCGTGTTTCTGCACTTTGCACTGTTCTTCTTTTCCTCCTCAAAGTAGTACTACCCTGGCTGATGTGGCTCAATTGGAATATCATCCTGTACACTGAAGGGTCTCAGGTTTCATTCCCAGTCAGGGCACATGTCCAGGTTGTGGGTTCGATCCCCATTCAGGGTGTGTATGGGCGGCAACCAATACATGTTCTCTTTCACATCAATGTTCCTCTCTGTCTGTCTCTCCCTCTCCCTTCCTCTCTTTCTCTAAAATCCATAAGAATGTATCCTCAGGTGAGGATTAAAAAAAAAAGTCAAAGTAGTGCTGAATGAGTGTCTAACCACTACAAACTATGGTACAATAGTCATTGTTAACTTATTGAAAGAAGTTTTTAAAAACTGTTCTCAATTTTCTTGTTCATGGGTTTCTCCCAGTAGCACACTTCTGGCTGACACTGTACCAAAGCTACCTGAGATGGTCCTCATTCATAGCTGGGTTGGCTCGTAGGCGGTTGGAATGATAAAGTATATGTTCTTCAGTCACCTAGTGTGAATTTATAAATGAAATACTATGATGCCTTTTGTGTGTCATTAATCCACGCTAACAATAAAATGGCACATCCATTATTCTGCTGTTGAAATAGACTTTATTATGTTTTTCCAAAGGATCAATGGTATGAGAACAAGTTAGAGCAGGTGGAAGAGATTTCATTCGCCTTTCCCACATCTATCCTTCCTGCCTTCGCCTATTTTCATGCTAGAGATCCATGTTTCTACTCTAACAGGCAATCCATCAAATTTCTGTTAATTTTTTTAAAATTTACCTTTATTGTTGAAAGTATTACAGATGTCCCCTTTTTTTCTCCCATTAACCACCTCCACCCCGCTTCACCCCCCTCCAGGCCTTCCCCTTACTGTTGTCTGTGTCCTTGGGTTATGCATAGAGCATATCAATTCTTTGGTTAATCTCTTCCTGTCCCTCCTCACCCCTCCCCTCAGATTTGTCAGTCTGTTCCATGCTTTCAGGTTGCATTATCTTAGCACACGGGTCATTCTCCCCGCTCCTTGCTGTTTAGTAATCTGCAATGTCCCCTTCTCCCCCTTCCTCCGATAGCACTGCAGTGACAACACGCACCCCTGCCAGTCGGACATGAACATTGAAGGGGCCTGGAAGCGAGGCTACACGGGAAAGAACGTGGTGGTGACCATCCTGGACGACGGCATTGAGAGGACGCACCCGGACCTGATGCAGAACTATGTGAGTGCTTGCTGCGGTCGGAAGCCTTGCCTCCTTGGAAGCAAGGGAGCTCGTGGTAGGATTATCAAAAAGGGGGGAAGCTACTGAAAAAATGCAGCAACCAGATCCAGTGGTCTGTGTGCTGCTCCTGTCTTGTAAGAGGCGCGCTCTCAGAGTCCAGGACCCATGAGATAACACTTTCAACTCCGGCGTGCCTTTGATGTTCTGACAACAAACAGCAGGTGATACGGGAGCAGAAACCCTACCACCAACACCACCTGCTCCAACAACAACCACTTTTCTCAGCTCCCCCACAAAGCCAGGAAGTGCTGCTTTTTTGTTTGTTTGTTTTATGGAGAAAAGTGTACTTAGAACTTTTCTCAAGTTATTCTGTTGGTCTATTTCTCTCCTTTTTAAAAGGACAGTAATGATCAGCCTACCAGTATTCCTTAGGGATCAATGAATTCTTTTTCTTAAGAAGGCACCATAATTCCAGGACTCAAAGAGAACATAAGATGAGCTCAAAGTCATCGAACAAGCAAAAGTGCTGAAACTCAGTGCTTTGATTGAACACTCATGGTATTCCCACTG